TAAAAAAAGGGTTGGTACTTAGTATCGGGGATAGTGCCTGGAGGATTTTATTCGTAAGAGTGATTTGATGGGTCTGCTCTGCTTCTTTTTCCAGTTTGCAGAAATAACAAGGATTTTAGCTTTCAACATTTTGCCTCTCCAGGGGGAAGTACATTCACATTGTTTACTGAAAACAACAGTCGTACCTGGAAGATTCTTCTTTTGATGGGAGATTTTGGCTCCTTCTATATGAGTGAATTAAGTAGTGTCAAGGAGTGTCCCTGGGTGCTAAACTACTTTCCATTTCTGGAGCCACTTTCAGAGCAGATGGCCCTGTACAGGCAGGATGTGTGGGGTCCCCACCCAGATGTATTTCACTGTCTTTTCAAGCCACTGTAACTGTTAGACCTGTATGCCAAAGCTCCTGGTTCAAGCCTTACAATCTGGGTCACTTCCATAGAATCAGAGTCATTTGGGCTGGAAGGGACCTCAAAGACCATCTAGTTCCAACCCCCCTGCCATGGGCAGGGACACCTTCCACTAGACCAGGTTGCTCAAAGCCTCATCCAGCCTGGCCTTGAAGACATCCAAGGATGGGGCATCCACAACATCTCTGGGCAACCTGTTTCAGTGCCTCACCACCCTCCCCAGGAAGAACTTCTTCCTGATATCTAATCTAAATCACCCCACTTTCAATTTAAACCTGTTACCCCTTGTTCTGTCGCTACAGCCCCTTCTGTAAAAAGTCCCACTCCAGAATTCTTATAACCCCTTCAGGTACTGGAAGGTGTTATAAGGTCTCCTCGGAGCCTTCTCTTCTCCAGGCTGAACAAGCCCAACTCTCTCAGCCTGTCCCCATAGCAGAGGTGCTCCAGCCCACGGAGCATCTTTATGGCCTCCTCTGGACTCGCTCCAACCAGTCTATGTCCTTCTGATGTTGGGGGCCCCAGAGCTGGATGTAGCACTCCAGGTGGGGTCTCACCAGAGCAGAGTAGAAAGGGAAAATCCCCTCCCTCGACCTGCTGGCTACGCTTCTCCTGATACAGCCCAGGATACGGTTGGCTTTCTGGGCTGCCAGCACACACTGCCAGCTCATGTCTGGATTTTCATCCCCCAATATCCCCAAGTCCTTCTCCTCAGGGCTGCTCTGAAGCCAGTATTCTCCCAGCCTGTACTTGTGCTTTCACTGGACATCAGAATATCATCGGTAGGACTTACTTAATTTTGGCCATCTTCGGGGTAGGTGTGATCGTAGTGGGGAAATAGCAATTCCAGGATGGGATTATCTTAACCTATTTTAGATTTCTTCTTCAGGGTGGGGTGAAGCACCCCTACAAGTAGTTATATGTCTTCACTGGATATGATGGGATCTGGTGTGATAGGCTATATGTGTGCTGCAGCTGTCTGTGTATATTTATATGAATCCACCCTAATCTCTTCACTGACATCGAGGCCACAATTTCCCAGTCTCATTATCCCAACCAAAATGCTGTTGCTGCAGACCATCCCCAATGTTATCATTCTTGCTTAGTGCAGGCCCCCATTTCCATGCCGTGCCAGGCAGATCAGGGAATGGATGCAGCTGCAAACTCGCTTGTCAAGTAGAGTGAAAAGAAGAAAGGTTGTTTTAGAGAAATCTGTTCCCTGATTCCAAACCATACAGACACCAAACTCCTGGAAGAGGTTGAGAATACAGTGTTAGATGGAGTAGAAAGTTGAACCATGTGTTTGAAGATGGCCTGCATTTAGGACAGGTTAAAGCAGTTGTTATGTGGAGACCAAAGGATAGCAAATCATGAATCCCCTGGTTTTAAGCCTAGCTACACATGTGTTTGCTAGAATGGTTGTAGAACCCGTCCTAGAGTCTGTGGATGTATACAATGACCACTGGCATTCCCAACAGCAATTTTGTGCAGTTTCCCCAGTGGGATGAATACCAATCCTTTCACAGCTGTAAATCTGTTCAGCTGTGTTAACTCCACTGTAGCTAAATCACGTGTAAGATCTGAAAATAGACCTGAGGCTCTGGTCTGGTCTTGTCTTGTGCACAACACATGCAAGAGGAAGAAACCATGTGAACTTAGCAGAGTCCAAACAGCTATGTTTGTAGGCTATATATGAGACCAGATCCTGTTACCAATACACGCCCCTTGCTCTAAACATACCATCACAAGATGGCCCAGAGACTTTTAAAGAGAAATGCCCATTTCTGTGCCTTCCAGTGGCCCCAGAAAAGCCTGCAACCCTCATTTCCACATGGCAGAAGAAATGTTTTACCTGGCAGAAGAAATGCTTTGCCTGGCTCCGCATGTCTGCAAGCGATGGAGAAAGGCGTGCAGGGGGCATCACCTATGA